CTGGTGAGGATGGGTGTCCACCCCCAAACCACTTAAGGGTCAATTGGACAATATATATATATATATAAATATCCGCCGACCCCTTTCGCCAAAGGGGAGGCGCATGGGAAGGGTGTGTGTTCGTCCTTGGCTTAGTGATGGTTATCATCACCACTGATGTTGGGCGATGGTTCGCAGCATCCGGATCATCATCATTATTCTGTTTCATGTGCGTTTCATTTGTGCCGCTAGTGCGAAGTCATGATTGATGCCGGCGAAGCATAGTGATGACTATCATCAGGATGTCGTCACGGTGCGATGCTGGGGATGCGTAGTGATGATTATCATCAGGATCATCATCATCATCATCATCACGACTTGACATGCAGGGGGTGCAAAGTGACGATTATCATCTCAGTTGCCGTGACAACATCCTGATGATAATCATCACTGTGCATCCCCAGCATCAGCAGCAGTCATGACAATCATGACTACGCATCCTCTGCGTTTCCAGTCGGGTGCAACGGCACACTTGAAGCGTATATGAGTGATGATGATCCGGATGATGCAAATCATCACCTCAGTGATGTTGATAATCGTCATGATTATCATCAGGATCATCATCATCATCATCATCATCATCATCATCACCATGATCATCTTCATCATCATCCTCGTCATCATCATCATCATCATCATCATCGTCATGACCCGACTTGACATGCAGGGATGCAAAGTGACGATTATCTTCATGGGAGGCATAGTGATGATTATCAGCATCACTGATGTTAGGTGATGATTTGTATCATTCGGATCATCATCATTAATGTGGCGCTCTTCTTTTTCATACACGTTCCAAGCTAACATGCAGGGGATTCAAAGTGTCATGACTGCTGGCGGTGCCGCGGATGCATAGTGATGATTTTCATCCTCACGGATCACTGATGTTGGGATCATGAGAACCGTGGCGCTCTTCTTTTTCATATACGTGCGCCGCTAGGCGTAGTCATGATTGTCATAAGAACTGGTGGTGACGGGGGTGCGTAGTTCATCATCATCATCACCATTTGATTGCATTCCGAGGTGTTCCTAACGGCTTACTGCTCGCGAAAACGAAGCGATGACACAAAGTGCACGCTTTGCATCCACAGCAATGCAATGAAGTCTTGCGAACAAAACAAAGTGCCCCCCAAAAAATAGTAAAAGGAGAATTCAAAGAATTATTCTTTCTACTATTTTTTTTCCAACAGCAACACAACAAACAGAAAACAAAATCCAGAACAACAAGCAAACAAAATAAATAATCACAACCAGCAACAAAAATATTTAATCACAGCATGCAACATTAAATAATTCAAACAAGCATACCAACAAAACAGCAACACTCTAAATCATCAAAGAACCCAAACTCAAAAACACACATCAACAAAAAACAAAGCAACATACCAACAAAAAATATCACAAGAGCATCAAACAAAACAAAAACAAACAGCCAAAGCACGAAAAAATTGAAGAAGCATGCCAAGTCTAAACAACGCACTTTGAAAGAGATAAGCAAATTATAATAATTCAATCTTTACAAACGATAAATATATTACAATTATAACATATAATATTTTACATGTGATAATCATAGTATGATTAAACCTGTTTTTTAGTGTTTCCAGTCTCCTATGTTGTTCCAAGAACTGCTCAAAATGTTTCTGATATTATACCAGATTAAGTTAACGTCATAATCTTTCATTGGTGCTCTTTGTTGTATTAAATAACGCAACACTGATACCAAAGTATAATAATTACAATGCATTGTTGTCATTCCTCCTCTTTCATTAATACTATTACCATTACGTTTAACGAGTTCTTCTTTCATTATGTTTTCGTAAATCTCTTTTATCCATTGATGATTTTGTTCTCCATACTCAGCGAACATATCTGGATATATATCTTTCATTGTTTTATCGTTTTTAATTATTTCAATGACTTGTTTATACGATGGATAGGGATTATCCTTAATGAAGCTCAATATTATCTTTCTATCCTGTTCCAGCTCTTTTTCTGTCACTCCTATCATTGGCATTTTTCTCTTATTATATTAAGTCTTTATTCCTTTAAGTCATTTTACATTATAATTATAACATATAAGGGTATAAATGTTATAATCATTCCCCGATTTTATCAAAATCATTCCCCGATTTTATCAAAATCATTCCCCGATTTTATCAAAATCATTCCCCGATTTTATCAAAATCATTCCCCGATTTTATCAAAATCATTCCCCGATTTTATCAAAATCATTCCCCGATTTTATCAAAATCATTCCCCGATTTTATCAAAATAGGTGGTGGTTTGGTTCATTGCAATTGCATGTGCTCAAGTTGCAAGCCCAACCCCAAACTCAAAATCCTTAATCCGTCAAACTCACTAAGATTTCACAAATTAATTCGCTAGGTATTTTATATAGGTCTTCCTGTTTATGTATTGTTGGATTGTCTCCCCAATTTTCCTTAGTGCCTGATGGAAGCCGTTGTGCTGTTTCAATATGTTTATTATTCCTGATGTTGCCACAATCCTTTTTACATAAATCTCTAGGTTTCCAAGTTGTAATGTTATTCCAGAGCCTAGTGCGTTTTCTGTAAGGCATTCCATATTTACAATAATCAACATCTTTAAATTCAAACTCATCCATAAACTCCTGATTTTTTAATAATCCAGTTTGTGGATTTTCGATTACAAAATATTTAGGATTGAAATATTTGATAATCTCAATAGTTTTTAAGACAATACTATTTGCATATTCGATATTCCTAATTCCCCTAGTTTTTGCTATGCTGTATTCAGTGCATGGGGGACTACTCCAAATAAAATCAAAATGGTTTCTGTCAAACTGTTTGTAATCCCACTCCAAAATATCAGTGTTGATATCAGCATTTTTCAAGTCTAATGATATCACATTAAATCCAAGCGACTTTGCTATGGTTCCGACTGAACCACTACCTGAAAATAACTCTAATAAATTCATTTATTAGAATTATTTAGATATTATTTATTCAAATAATACATATACTCCATCATCATTTTTTGAAATTTTGTAAAATTCTAAAGTGGTGCTTTTAGGTTGTTTGATTTTTCCTGTATTCAACATATCACAGTATTTCTTTTGCTTTGTCGGGTAGTCGCCCGATGGTCTTCCTATAGATTTTGCTTGAAATATCTTTTCGATTTTTTCTTTATCTTCATTGCGTTCAACTTGTTTCATTTTGTCATCAATGGATTTAATCATATCATTTAAGGTTTTAATATTTTTACCAATTAATGTTATCTTCTTCATTAAATCATTAATAGTGTAATTCTCATTTTCAGACATTACTATATATTTATTTAGATAATTATTTATTTAATTATACGTTTTATTATATAATTTACCTGAATAATTTAATGTTATATATGTAAATAAATTATATTCTAAGAGTCTTTCACCAATTTTATTTTTCAATTGTATTAAACCTTCATCGTTACCTGTAATTTCAAAAAACTTCAACATTTTATCAAATTTATCTGGTTTAGTTATACCTTTCATAAAATATTTATTATTGAATTTAGCATCTAACCAATAAAAATATTCTATACTCAATTGTCTAGCAAAGTTTTTATCACCATCGAATATATCATTAATTTCTTCATCGTCAAAAGTTATAATTCTATGGTCTTGTCCATTCATAGTTGGCATTATGATTATATAAATAATTAGATATTTATTTATTTATTTAATTATTATATTTATAAAGTGCAATTATGTTAAATCTACTCTTTAAATACTAATTTTTCATGATTTGTTTAACAGTTTCCTGAGTTTCGTTTTCATTATTATCGGTTGGTGTTGCTTGCCTACCAAATTTAAAAGTTATACTATGGACATCAGTTTCTAAGTTGATACTGTCTTTAGTTTTATCAATATTCATTTTCTTATCATTTTTACTTATTTTGAAACTTGTTGGAATACATGAACATTTACAACTTTTATTATTTTTTATTTGTAATTCATTCTTAAGTTCTAACATTCTTTTGCATGTAGGACAAACAACCTCAATAACTGATGTTTCTTTAACAATTTCTTCATCAGTTGATGAAACACTTAAACCTGTCTTATTCTTTTTGTTTTTCTTTTTTCCCATTTATATTAATATTTATATTTTTAATATATTGTATCAAAAACTTAATTAATTCTAAAATAAAATAACATATTTTTTTACATCTATTATCAGTTATGACAACCCGTTCTATATTCTCCATTTCATTTATTATATTAATATAATCTGTATAACTCCTTTTCATATTAAATAATAAGATAAATTATTTTTCATTTCTGCTTTTCTCTTCTTGTAAAGTTTTTTCATTGTATCGTCCTTATTCCATCTATATCCCACAAATTTCTGATGATGTTTTGAATTTAGATGTTTAAATAAATATTTGTCATCATAAGTTTTACAACAATTGCAATGGATAACAGTCATATAATAATAAGATAAAATAATTATTTAAAGTATTTAATCTTATTATTTTCATGCATGATAGAATATTCGGAGGGCACAGCACTTGGGGTTTTCATTGCACGCGAGAGAGATACAAACTAATTAGCTTCAATGCTTGTTGATTGTAGCAATGGAAAACCTGTTCCATTTTTATGATATTCGCCACCAGCATATCATAAAAACGATGTTCCATTAATATTAAATAGAATATTTATTTAAATTATTTTCTTTAGTAAGTTTTAATGCAGTTGGTATATCAACATCTAGAATATTATTATTAATAATTTTTTGTACACCATTTATCATTTCATTTGTATATCTATCGGGATAATCTTTCATAAAATTCAATAATTTATTATAATTTAAAATATCCTCATTTTCGATTGATGATTTAGGTATTATATTTTTTTGTTATTAATCATCGATAAAAACGTTAAAATCGTATCATAATACATTTGGCCAGTCTCTGGAACTAAAACATCACCGAATTTA